GATTAGGGATAGAGAATGGAGTATCGTGATCCTCCAAACTTGGCGCCGCAGTGCTATGAGGCGGGCTGATTATTTTCTTGTTTTTCATGAGAATTGTATCCCTTGGTGATTTTATTGTATCTCTTTATTAGTTCTATTGTGTGAACGGTGCAAGGGTGAAGAGTGACAAGGAGAGAGTGAGAGAAGAAAGATTTGTATTTTTTCAAATTTTCATTGTGAATTTCTTGGTATGGTGTGGCTCCATAGTTTTTTTTTTCATATTTCAAATTTTTTCTACTTTAAATCTTGGTGCTATTTATCTTCGATGCAATTTTTTATTTCTTGTTTGTTTTTACTGCATGGTTTACTTCCCTAACAATGAGCCTTATCAAACTTATTAATGAACAATACTATCAAGCACCTTGTTAGTTAACTGATAACATCTTAACAAATCCATTAATGAGTAGCCTATTGAACTCTAATTGGACGAGCAACTAAAAAATAAACATTTTAACAAGCAAAAATAAGTAGCTTATATTCATTAGCAAAAACAATCTAATATTAAAAAAAAAAAGCAAGACTCCTATATAATCACATATTGAATACATTTGTAATTGAGTATGAAATTAGCACATTAGTTGAGCCTTAATCAAACTTTTTAACAAGCTTGTTCATAAACTTTTAGTGATATTATTTATGATCATAAATGAATCAACACAAAGCTATTTAAATTTGATTATTTATTAATTGAGTTTTTATGTAAATGTTTAAGCTTATTTGGTTATTTTATTAAATGATTATGAGCAAGCTTTAACCAAGTTGAGCCACAAGTAGCTTTTCAAGCGTTTTGTTTCATTTTCAGCCTAAGTGAAAAAGAACACATCTTTTAACGTAACCAAGAGTTTTAAAGGGTAGACCTAGAATTATGGAACCATGATATCTTAATCAAGTTAATCATACCTACCTAAATAACTTTTGCATAGCTTGCAAACAACCAAGGCTTCTGTATCAAAAACAATATAATATTTAAAAAAAAAAACAAGAGTCCTACAAAATCACATATTGAATACATTTGTAATTGAGTATGAAATGGGCATATTATTTGCGCCTTAATTAAACTTTTTAACAAACTTGTTCATAAACTTTCAATGATATTATTATGATCATAAATGAATCAACCCTAAAGCTATTTAAATTTGTTTGTTTATCAATTGAGTTTTTATGTAAATGTTTAAACTTATTTGATTAGTTTATTAAATGATTATGAACAAGCTTTAACCAAGTTGAGCCACAAGTAGCTTTTCAAACATTTTGGTTCATTTTCAGCCTGAGTGAAAATGAACACATCTTTTAACATAACCAAGATTTTTAAAGGGTAGACCTTGGATAATGGAACCATGATATCTTAATCAAGTTAATCACACCTACCTCGATAACTTTTGCACATCTTGCAAACAACCAAGGCTTCCTTAAAATTTTTAGCCTAGGGAAATCATTAATTGAATGTGCTTTCCCATCAGGAGGGATAAATAACTGCGTAAACCATAAGTAGTTGAAAATCTGGAGAAATATAGCTAGATATAAGCTTAAGAAAAACTTCCAAGTTCTCACGCATAATGAAGCTCGAGGGGGTTCTTTTCCTGATTGGTCACTTTATAGTTCCTTAGTTTGTTAGTGGTGAATCCATTATCCTTTTTCTTAAATCCATTTTCTAGACCCTTTCTTTGTATTTTTTGTTTTCTACTGCACTCTTTTACCTTTTGGTAGCTTTGACTTAACCATCTTTATCTCACATTGAGCATTCAAGTTCACAGACATTTATTAGTAATAAGTAATTTTGGGAAAATGATTATCTATGCATAGTTCTAATCATCAATTGAGATCTCTCAACTCAATTTTTAATGAAGTAACACTCATTTGATTCCACATGCACATACATATGATATCTTAAAACCCTGAAATGAGAAAGATTCACATCCTTTCTAGCTCACGCCTCTTCAAGCAGCTTATATTCTAGAGGAACTAATAGTCCTCTAATAATCCGATAAATCACAATACTCACAATATCCTCTACAAAATCTCAGGCAATACAGTATGCAACTTTATGGACTTAACTCTTTCATGTGCTCAGCAATCTCATCTTGCTGCTGTATTCCTGGACATGTTCTCTCCATACATATTTTGTCAACTATTCAAGATTATCCTAACTAGTTATTGTAGATTTCACCAATAGTATTTGATCTCATTCACTTTACTTATGTTAAGAAAGGTAGAGGTAGATCTAAAAAGACTTGGCTAGAAAATATTAGAAATAATATTTCTTTATTAGATTTGAATGAGAATTTGACTTTTAACAGGACACAATGGCGAAAAAGGATTCAAGTAGCCGACCCCACGTAGTGAGAAAAAGACTTGATGTTGTTGTTGTATTTGATCTCATTCAATCGGCTTATGATCCTAATCTTCACACTCTTATTGACGAAGGCAATGAAGGCGGCGGCCAATCTTCTCGTGTTCGAAACCTTAGGGGAGGTTTTTATGATAATGGCTAACAGTGAGGCTTTATGGAGTGCATAAATTGTGTTCCCTATATTACAAAATTTATAAACTGAGAGAGGGTTTAACCTAAGTAAGTGTCAGGGAAGGGAAATAAAAAATTTTCAGGATGCCTAAAGAGATACCCATTACAGAACATTGATGTGGATGGGCACAGAATCAGAATATGAAGATAGGACTGGCGAATTAGGTTCCCACACTATCATCTTTAGCATACAGAATCAGAATATCTGAAGTTCTGTTTGTCACAGCATCAAAAAAGCTTTGTTTTTCCATTTCTGCTGTTTTTTTTTTAAATCTTGATGACTTGTCCAGCACTGGTATAAAGTATAAACACCTAGCTTTCACCTATCAGACATTGAGACATTGATGCAGTTGTTGGTTATAATTATTGGATCTCTTTTCCTATAAAGGGGATGAGTTACAATCTCATCATGTTGCTTGACCTCTAACATTCCTCGTAATTTATCGTCGGGTGCATAACAATAAATTAAGCTCGAGGTTAACTAATATCTAGCAAATTAATAGATAAAATCTTATAAAGGGAACAACCAAGTAGGTTGCCCGACATTTGATGTTGTCAATCGACTGTCATCTGACACTTGATAATGTTCGGCGTATGTCAACCGCTAATATTGGATGCTCGTTTTCGTCGTCGCTAATATCATCTCCTATGAAAGGAACATTTGAGCAAATCACTAGCTATCATTTGGCATTCAACATTCTCAGTCAATCGTCGTTTGACGTCTGTCAATATCTATTCTATGTAAACCACCTAATCCTAAACCTACTTTTTATAGCACAAATCTCCTATCATATACGGTGCACGGTTGAATAAACCAACAAGGGAAATTTAATATTCAACATTCTTGATTAACTATTGTTTGATGGCTTCCAATAATTAATGTCTATTGGCCACCAATGTCTAACAACCACCTTTCCATTTGTTGGTCTCAGCCTCTTATAAGAGGAATGATCACTTTTGTGGTCATCAGTCTCCCCTCCCTTTAATAAGACCGATCGCTCGGTCTAACAGTCAATCGACTTTTGACAGTCGTAATAAATTTTTATCTGATACTTGCTAATGTTCAACATCTAATATATATTGAGCACTGATATCTAATTCTTACCTTATTAGTCGCCGGCCTCCATATATAGAGAATGACCAAATATATCATCAAATATCACTTGATGTCTAACATTTGCAGTTGATCCCCAAATGATGCCTACCAATGTCCAAAATCTATTAACTAAGAACATTTAGCTTCTAATTTTCATGACTATGTTGCCCCTCTTGTAAGAATGACTTGATTGATCACTAATCTTCACTTGATGCCTACCATTCACAATTAACTACAATTATAAGCATCCAACATGCCACTTCCTAACCATAGAATCTTACCTTCTACAAAGAGAACAATCTAGAAAATTGCTCAAATTTCATTTAATTCTATACTATCATCATAAAAATTATCTTTAAAAATTCATATTTATTATTAATGTCTTATTCATTTAGGGAGTAAGACACCCTTATAATAGTAGACTTATTATCAATAATAGTAGCCTTATTCTCTAATTAAATGTTATTATGTATGCCTGTAAATTTTTATTTAGGGACAATTTGGTTGGAATACAAAGTGAATAAAATATTTTAAATGCAGTAGTTTTGAAATTTTGTTGTTTGTTTGTAATACAAAGTGAAGTAAATATAATGTAATTTATTTTAATTCATTTTTGGAAGTAAACAAAAATCGTTCAGTTTTGTGTGAGAATTATTTAAATCACAAACAAGCTCATTTGACACCGGCCACAACTGGCTACCTCCATATCTACTAGCCATCACCACCACACTACATTCCTTTTTAAGTCAACCAAACAGTCTATTAGACTGATCCAGCCGGTCCATGTTGAACTGGCTTACGAACAACAGAGGCAGACTCTTCCGCCTCATGCATGCCGATCAAACCGAATGGAGCAAAGCGAGCAAATTAGAAAGATTTTTGGAGAAGTTTAGGAGGGAATTTTGAATGTATGGACTGTTTAGAGATTTTCGTTTGAATTGTAAGCATCAAATAGTTTGTTTTTCTAAGATTAGAGTATTTTAAATTTGGTTGAAATTTGAGATCTCTTAGATTTTTGGGCTCTTGCGGCGTGCAAAGATGAATAGAGGATCAATTGTATCTTGATATTTTCTTTTTTATTTCATCAAATAATATAAATTACCTACTGTTTTTCTGTTTTTGTGTGAATTCTTGCAAAGAATTATTACTATTTTTTTTTTTTAAAGATTGATAGTAGATATCATTTCCTATGATAGTCTCTCTAATATTAAAGAATATTTCACAGTCAACTCAGAATAATAAATCCGACGGATTCCCCAGTGCCGAAGATAAATTTCTTGGGGAAATCATCGCAGATCAGCACGCAACACCCTTAAAAAAAATAATGGAGCAGACAGATTCATCAATGCCTAAGAGAATTTATGCAGGAAGTCTCTCATAATCTCTTGATTTCACAAAGCGACAACATATACGTCCAAACAAACAATTCACCAACTCAAAACAGTATTGAACCAAATCAATTAATTTCTACAGAGAACCCACAAATCGATCCAAATTCACAACCATAAAAAACAGCCGACAACAAAGCCGGCCACCGGCAGCCGCTCAGTAAGGCGGCAGACCGGCGTCTTTGGACTTGGCATAAGAGATGTAGTAGAACTCCGTCAGAATACCGGTGAATAAGACGAATGCAGCGCCGGCGCCGAAAACCCCCTTCCTAAGCGTCTGGCACGACGGCGGATCCTCGCTAAAGATGCCACGGTATCTCGTGTGATACGCGTTCTGCACGGATCCCGCCAGAAGACAAGACTCCGCGATCAAAAACGCCACCCTGCAACCACCAATGAATCAGATCTGCAGATCCGGAACAATCTCCACATATCACGATCTCAAAGAGAGAGAAAAATGGAAAGTAGATATATTAGAACCAGGAGATGAGGAAGAGGATCAGGGCACAGGATCTTGATCCGCTAGGGCGAAGTGCGGGGCCGCAGCAGAAGCACTTGCTGGCTGCCATGACGAGGATCTGGCTCGCGAGAAGGAAGAGAAGAGCACCGACACCGAACCCAGTGGCAATGTCTGAATCGTATACGCAGTAGGTGTAATTCTTCTCAGAATCGGGAACCACCTGGGCCTGTGGACGGAGAACAAGAGGTCAGATCTGGTAGATAGAATAGGGAAGGGGAAGATGAGACGGGGAGGAATGACCTTGCTCCGTCGTTGCTCGGCGGCGACGGCGAGGCCGAAGGCGATGATGTCGAAGATGAAAACGATGGCGATGACGAGCTTGGACGCCATGGATCCCGCGAAGAGCTTCCGATTTCGGGTGCAATTTCTCTGGTCTGAAGACTAGAGTTGAAACCGATGAGACTCGAAGGGAAGGAAGCGGTGAGCTCTATTTATTAAGCGGCGATTTTCGGCTACTTATTTATTTACTCCAACCGTTACCAGCTAAAGTTTTTTTATTCACCTAATTGTTTTTTAAATGGCCATAGTCAGTTCACGAGTCATTGGATAGCCTAAATGAACCTGACCAAATAACATTTTAGGGTTGAATTTAAACTATAACTTAACCGGGCCGAACTGGTCCGTGTTTTCTTTCCGCACGCGGGAGCTAGTTGGTCACACCACTTCTCCTTCGGTCGGATCATGACCAACCGCGTGCAACAGCCGTGTTTCTCCTCTCTTCAACTGTGTGAATGACGTGATTTTTTCATCCTTTTTAAATTCTCCGGCCCTTGCTGCCTTCCTCTTGTCATTTAGGGCGAATAAGGGAATCTAGGGCATCATTATAAACCTTCCCTTGCTTCTCTCACAACCGCCGAAAATCCCCCCTTCTCTTCCCTCTTCGCTCCTTTCTCGCACCAGAGGCTACGGCAACTCCCTTCTCTAATAGTGAGTTCAAACTCTCTTTTTTCCCTTCTCCTTCCTTCGTTCTTCTTTATTGCCAAGGATAAATGTTCTCTCTTTTATAGAGTTATGCTAGATTTGATTAGTATTACGATTGAAATGATATTATAATGAATTTTATATTGTTTTCATATGGAAATCTTATTTAAGTTGATGTTTGATTTAATCAAAATTTTATAGTATTTTGCATTTGTTAGAAGTATTATTAATTCAAATTTTGTTGTTGAACTTCTCTTAAATTTGGTCTCTATAAGGTATTTTGTTAGGTGGTAGAGTTGATCATATTATTTGACAATTATTTTGGTGTTTTCGATGTGACTAAAAACTCATTATTATTTTATAGTAGTTTTTTATGCTTTTATTTATTAGGGTTGGATAGTTTTTTATACTTTTTGTTCTATTTATATTCATGTTGTCTTGTATCAAAATTTTTGTTATTTGAAGGTTATTTGAAATTCTATTAATGAATTGACTTTTTTATTTTACTTCTTTTGTTTACTCTGGTGCTCATATATATCATGTTGTATCACTTATATATGCATGTTTTTCTTTACGAAAACAAAACAGGCTGTTCCCTTCCTCACGTCCCATGTTGTCGGGATCTACTGTCTTTCGGACCCAGTGTGTGACTGACCTGATCTAACCTATAACTGATCCAAACAAAACCAAGATTTGAGTTCAAATATTCAATCTAGCCCATTAGAATTCTCAAAAATTATTTCAAACTAGTGCACTACATGTTTGAGTGTTTGAGTGTTGGCCTCTATTTCTTATCATCATAGTGTGGTGGTTGTGAGGACCAACTTAAACAATGTTTTTAGTAAATTTGAAAACATTAGTGGGATAACCCTATTTCGTTCATTTTATAGTATGAGACATTGAACAATTTCAATTATAGGGAGAATATCCTCATTGTTGAATTGATTTTATAATTATCCTTAATGATTTTCATTAAGGCCTAAATTAATGCTAAGAAAAATTATTTGCTAAATATGATAATCATTGGCTTGATTTCTTCTTATTGTTATTATTAGTGTTGCTTGAAGCAATGATTTTGGAGTCTATGTAAAATTTAAGTAGGTGGGACATTGTAAGTTTAAAATGAAAAATGAGCCTTTAAAGGAGATCCCTTCTTCATTATGAGAAGAATGGACAGAGACAGAAGCTCTTTCACCTTATTTCATGTTGGTATTTTTGTTTATTATTTTTGAAGAGTAATGCTAAAATGGTTTGAATTTATAGTAGTGTTGTTTTGTGTTGAAATATTTGAGACAATAGAGAGATAGAGAGTTTAAAGTCTTTATGTACGATGATCCAACACATAGTTGAGAGAGAAATGTGAGTTATAAGCAACACCAAATTTCTTATGTGGAAAATTCGGAAAAGGGAAAAACAATGGGGTCTAAACCAGTTAACATGATGCTCCTAATATTTGTCGTTTTTTTTCAAATGATGCCCTTCCTTCGGGGAAGGCATTGACACAATATTGCAACTGAGGTCAGACAAATCGTAGTCAGAAATGGAGGTCAACAAGATTGTAGTCATGCGAAGGTGGCCTGAGGCTTGAGGAACCGTAGTCGGGCGACCTTGGTTGAATGGAATATAGTCCGACCGCAGTGTTCAGATGAAATGTAGTCGAGTGATGGTGGTCGGATGGATTATGGTCTGACGACGATGTTCATAGAGGGCATAGTTGGACGATAGTGGTCAGAGGGACTGTAATTGAGTGACGATAGTTGAAGGAACCATAGTCGAGTGATGTAGGTCCAAATGATCATAGTCAGATGATAGAGATCGGTGGGATCGTAATCAAGTGATAGTGGTTAGAGGGACCGTAGTCAGGCAAACTAGGTTGAAGGGATCGTAGTCGGGCGATTGAGGTCGGGGGGATAGTTGGCTGACGAAAGGTCTGATAATTGCGGTGTGGAGACTATTAACCGATGAAGTCTAACATCAATAATCAATAGGAAAAATGTCAGTTGAAGGACTATAGTTTGGCAATTGAGGTCAATCGTAGTCGGGTGAATGAGGTCGAAGGGCGACGGTTGGTCGACGAAAGATCTGACCACGGCGGTGTGGAGACTATCAGCTGATGAAGTTTAACACCAATAATTACCAGGCAAAAGCTTTGTAAATGATAGTATAGTCATGGTCGAGTGGATGTTGTTCGATGAAGTGCCGACGGTTGAGCATAGGTCTTACTATGACGGTAGGGAGGAGGTTCAGCGGCGTCAGTCGAGCAATGAGGGTTCACCGACGGCGGTGCTCTGGTGGAGCTTTCGAAATTTTCAAGCCACAAAGCTCTCTTCCTAGTCTAGCTAAAGGTCTCATCCTCCACGGTGAAAAGTGTGGT